TAAGATTAAAAAACAATAAGACATTTATTAAATGCAAATTTATTATATAAATGTAAATTTATCAATAGAGTTATTTTTTGAACAAAATATGCAAATAATTTGTTAAACAGTTTTACTTAAAATATATACAATAATAATATGCAAAATATGAAATATAATTAATAAAATATTAAACATCATAAATGAAAAATAATAAAAAAAACATAACAAATATACATAATATATAAAATATACAGTACAGATATGTTCAATATAATATAATAAAATATAATAAACAAAATATGATATTAAAGTATACAATAAATAAAATAAACAGATAAGTTTAATAACCAAATATTTTATATAACAAAATACATTAGTTATGTGACTTAGTTACTTCTGTTTGCGACTTAGTTACTTCTGCTTGTGACTTAGTTACTTCTGTTTGACTACTTGCTCAAATAACTCATTAAATTTTCCGTTATGTTTATTCAAATAAATAAAAAAATTGGGTACTAATAGCTGACCTGCTGATAAACAGCAGTCCGCGCAATTGGTACAAATACCCAAACCACTCAATAATTGTTAATAAAACTTTGCTACATTGTTTTATTGCTGTTTTATGCAGTTTTTAAGATTAAAAATATAAACATAATACATAAAAAAAAAAACATTTTCTTGTAATCTAATACTCTATATATTATTATTATTATTTTTCATTGAAAAAATCCAAGTTTATGAGATTTTGATATATCTAGCATATTTTACTGGATATGAAAAAAGTTATTTCTGGTGCAACTGTTGGAATTAGTAATTAGTATAAAAGTGTTGGAGGTCAACAAAAAAAAATTTGATACAAAGGTCTTACCATAAAACATAGAAACGAGGTCAGCAGTATTTTGGCGTCCTCAAACACTTTTAGGTCGGCAGTTAAGTCTGCATTGCAAAATGCTGACCCATTTTAAACTTTTTTTAAAATTTAAACTTTGTAAACATTTTTCTTCTATTTTACATGTTTTTTGAAAATATCATAGAATTATTTGAGCCTTACATGGAGCCCCATATTTTTTATTTGTTTTTTAATTTTTGCCATATATTGGCCTGGTGCTTCTAAAAAAAAAAAAGTATTCGCAAGAAAAGCTTCTTATATTGTCTCATTTTTATTGAAGTTCAAACATTATGTATATTTTTAAAAATTATTAAATATATTTTTAAAAATTATTAAATACATTTTTAAAAATTCTTTAAAAAAACTTCTTATTCCTTAAATAAAAATAAAAAAAAACAAACATTACTTGTTACTGGTTGCTTTCTAACTAAAAAAAAAATGTATCAATCCAGCAAACCAACTCTCTCTCTCTCTCTCTCTCTCTCTCTCTCTCTCTCTATATATATATATATATATATATATATATATATATAGGCTTGGACAGGAATGGCGTGCGATCGAGCGCTGTTGCTGACCACGCAAATGATTTTATTTTTTGACAACTTGACCAGGATTGTTGATATGTTTTGATGAGTTAAAAATTTTAGAAATGTTCTGAATGTAGAAACGCTAAGCTAAACTTAAACTAGGAAAAAAATAAAATAAAAAAACTAACGAAAAAAAAATTCCTAACGAAAAAAGAAATTTTTAATTACGTATGAAATAAATGTTATTAAAGTTTATCTTTTTAAACATTATTAAAGTTACGCAAAACGTTTTTAAATTATGTAACAAATTACTACTAATGATTGGTTTAATAAATGAACAAACTTTATTAAATTTTTTAAAAAGTGTTGTATATAATATTTTTTAATTTTATAAACATTTATTTTGTCAAAAAAGTTGCAAAAAAAAATTGTTTAAAAAAATAACATAGTCTTTTCAAAAAAGTAATTTTTACTAATATCATGCTGTAAATAGTAAGTCTTATTGAAAAAAGTTTTTGGACTTTTTTATTTGTAAGAATAGAAAAATAAATAAATAATAAAATGCGCCTGCAGTTTAAATAAAATGAACTGCCTAAAAGCATTTTAATTTAATTTTAATCTGATCATTACAACTTTATTAATAAGCGCTTTGCGTAACAATTTAAAAATTATTATCAAAGATTTAAACTCATTCATTTCTAACGAAATTGGGAAAAAAAATGTTACAAAAAAAAATGTTTATTTACAACATTTTAAAAAATCGAAAGTTCAATCATAAAAATTAATCATATGGACATTACAAAATGCTTTAAAACTTTTTTATTAATCAACAAAATACATGCTTACATAAGTAAATAAAGTTATTTTATATTCTTGTGTAGTTCAAATAAAATGTGTAAAAGCTAGTAGTCACAAAAGCTTTTGAACTTATTCACAAATTAAAGTGAAAACAAATTAACTTAAAAAAATTCTTTCCAAAAATAATGGTTTAAAAATGTTTTAGGACGACATGGGAAAATAGTTTCAAACGTTTAAATTTATCATAAAAAATAAATGCCTACATAAAAAAAACTTATATATAACGTTTTTTATTAATTTACACAAGTGTTTATGTAAACAATAACTAAAATTAATTTTATGGTTTTATTTAAAGCCTTTGTGTAAAATAAAAAACTTCAGAAAAGATCAATGATTAAAAGATATTTATAAAGTAACACTTTTTTTTATTGCATTCAAATTGTTAAAACATCAAAATAGCATGGTCAAGTTATAAAGAAATAAAAATATTAGCGTGGCCAGTTACAGAGTGCGATAGCATGCCATTCCTGTCCAAGCCTGCATATATATATCAGGGTGTTACCCAGGAAAGAATTTCACACAGCGTTTTTGCGAAATTGGGAATTTAGGTGCGGCTAAAAAAAAAAAAAGAAAAAAAAAGGTGAGTATACTTCCATTTTTTAGACACAATTAAATTTTAATCAAAATAAATGTTCTTTTTTTGCTGGGTGTTATAGTTATAGCAGGATAATTTTTCTACTTTATAAATGTTCAATTCTAATTATTTAGCTTCTTTCATTATGGGCAATCTTCTAAAGTTTTCATTTTTAAATCGTTACTCCTCTTTGTTTGATATACTGTAGCCGTTTTTCAAACCGCCTTAATAGGCTTATTACGTATTTCGAGAAAAACGTAATTAAAAAAAATTATTTGGAGAAACTCTATGTAAAACGCTTTTTAAAACTAATAATTTTTATGAACTTTTTTAGAACTCTTTAAAAATATGTATTCAAAATCGTTTGTAGACATCTTAACTAGCTTATTTGGTAAAAAAGTCAAATTGATTTTTTTTCAAAGACACTTTGAAAAACGGCAGTAAAGCAGAGAGAAAACAAGAACTAAAGACAATTGTTTGCTGTTTTAATGAATGTTTTATTAAATTTCATTAAAACTTTGATCTAGATTAATTGCGTACATCACTTTTTTAATACAGTTTTAAAAGGTTTAAACGATTAGTTCTGAAAAAATATATTTGACTATATAACTATTTAAATACTTTAGTATTAATACTTAAAAAACTTTTTAACAAATGTCGTTCATCATATTTTATATTATAATTTTTATCATTAGATAAATTTAACAGTTTAAAAAGTTATTAAAACCAATAGCTTTTAAATGAAAATTAAATGAAAGTTTTCGAAATCTTAATAACTTTTTATTGAAAAACTTGGTTGGCTCGCCGATTTCCATCAAAGATAATATTTGTTAAAAGAACTTTTGTTGCAATATGCTACTTTAAGTTAAATAAGTAACAAAGACATATAGGGGGCAAAGCGAGATTCTTTCACCGCACGAGGGCAGCAACTAAATTTAATTGGCGTATTTTAAATATCTAGTAAATTAGGTATTTAAATTAAAAAAATGTATTTAAATACTCAATTTACTTTACATTCATTAAATATCTACATAAAGTTTGTATTTGTAAATTAAAAAAAAAATTTTGTATTTATAAATATTGGTTAATAATTAATAATATAATATTATTTAATTATCTTCTTTTACGTTTTACGTAAATATAACATAGATAATAAGTTTCATTGCAAGTTTTATTTTTGATTATTTTTGTTATTATTTTCAATTTACTTTACCTGCTAATTTATTTTACTGAGAGTATTAAATCTTTTATTACAAAAACGCTATTAACTTATTTTAAAGTATAATATTTATTATTATACAAATTTCTTTGTAACTTTACTAACGTAAGATTAATAGCAAAAACATAAATAAAGAGTTTTTGAATAATAAAAATAAATTAATAAAATAATTTATTAAAGTTTAAAAAATCCTAACTCAAGATTAACTGATGTCAATAAAAATTAGAATAAAAAGTTTTTTGAAACTTTTGAACGAATGATCATGTTAATTGTATGGACGCTTGTTAATGACGACACGTTTTTACATGTTAAAAAAATCAATCAATTTAATTCATTTTTTGTCATGCTTCTAATTGCGTTTTTTACTTGTCTAGCGTGAGACAAGTAAAAAACACAAATTTGAGACTGATTAAATTTTTTTTTTTTACTATGATCTTATGAACCTTTGGGAATTTGAAACCAATTGGGAATACAGCGTTATACGCAGTGCCATCAGGCTGGTTAACACCCTATATATATATATATATATATATATATATATATATATATATATATATATATATATATATATATATATATATATATATATATATATATATATATAATTCTATTGTATTATTATTGTATTATATATATTGTGTGGTAGTGGTGTAGTGGTAGAGTGCTTGCTTCATAACTGAGAGGTTCCAAGTTTGATCCCTACCACATCCGTGGTAGTACTGCGCTCAACTTATTTCTCCGCACAGCTGATAAAATAAGTAGCCTCCTCCTCTGTAATGGCCTTATCAGCCTCGAGGAGGTGAATTAACGAAAAAAAAAAGAAAAAAAAAAAAAAAAAAAAGAAAAGAAAATGTTTGCTTTAATTTAGAGACTGGGTTAGAAATCTTTACATTAATTTATTTACTTAATAAATTTTTTGCAAAAAAATTATACTTTCAAGAACAAAAAAGATACGGTCCACAATAATGAGTGTCTTCAATATTTAATTCTTCATCAGGTTCATTAAGAGGGACAATACATTTACGAATAGGATCAAATACCAACTGATATTTAAACACTAGCTCAGCTTTACGAAAATTATCTTCATATTCATCTGGTACAGAGTACTGTGGATTACATTTGAAAGAACGTATACACTAAACAAAAATATTTTTTTTTAAATGATACAAAACACTGTAAATTACATTTAAAATAATGTTTAAAAAAATTTTAAATGGTACAGAGTATAAATAACATGAAAAAAACAAAGAGAATAAAAAAATGACAAAAAACTATGGAATCATATCAATAAAATTCCAAACAAAGGTAAATAACACTTAGTACTCTTGAAAACGACTAATTAATAATTAACTGACATATGACAGTAATAACAAGAACTGCCACTAAAATGTTTTTAGCATAGCTCTTGATGCATTCAATTGGGCATGTTTATTAACAAGTTGACTGATAAGTGCTTAAGTCATCTAAATTAGCCAGCAACCAATAGTACTGATACCAATATTTCTGACTTTTTTCAAGTACTGAAACACAGGTAATAGATTGGCCTAATACCAGTATTTCAGTAATGAACATATAACAAATATTTGAAACTTTTTTCTGATTTTGGTTTAAAAAATGTAATGGTAATAATGCCTTACTCATTTTAATGATATTTATGCTATTCTGTCACACCATCTATACTGCTGGTCACACCATCTATACTGTTGGTCAATGCATCTATACTGCTGTTGTACTGGTAGCAGCTTTTATCTATTTATCTATTATTTTATCTGTGCTAAACCATGACTTATACTACATTTATAAATTACTTTTTTTTTTGACATGCATATACAAACACTATAGTTTGGTGGATTAGTGCGTTGTATTGTAAACGGAAGATTCAGAGTTCAAACCATAAGGGTAGCATATTTTCTATTTTTCTTTTTATATTATGTTAAGTCTTATAATAATTTTTCTTACAATTTTATCTATTTATTTTAATGTTGTACAATACTTTTAGTCTCATTTTGTATTTGCAGATTTATAACTCTAATTTTTATTATGGCCATTATTTTATCATTTGTGAATTTATCATTTTATTATTTTATCATTGAGTGTGAATAAATAACGATTATTAGAGTGTGCCTTCTCCCCCTGAGCAGCAGAGATTTATTCCTCCTATTAAATAGTGTTTACATTCATTGATGATTCTCACCCAATGAAACGAAAAAACTAAAAAACAATCTAAATTAACAAGTCAGTTATAAAAATCTGTTTAACACAATCTGTTTCTATTATCAAATCTTTTATGACTACATAACAGTCTATGTAACTGGACGGCTTCATTGATCACCTTTTGCAATCATTGTGCTGCATAAACAATTATAGTTATATATACGTTTAATTGAAAAAACTTTATATGTTTTGAATCAACATTTTTTGATTAATCAATAGATTTTTATTACACCCCTGTCAAAAAATCATTATAGCTGGACTTGCATTCCTGGAAAAAAAGAAGGTGGCATTTGAAACCCCTTGATATCAGGATTGCCAAAATGCAAATTTTGCAATTATTATATCCAAGCATATAAAATTAATTTTTAATTTTGTAGCTATAACATCAACAATGAGTATGACAGCATATGTTTTAACTATTTTTACAGTAATCATTTACACAAGTATTATTTAAATTTATTTTTAGGTTATGAACTGACAAGAGAAAAATAATTTTTTGCACGTAATATACTTGACTTCAACAAAAGCAACAAAATAAATACTGTAAAAATTTTTCTATGTAATATTACATATTACATATAATTATTCTAATATTTTTCTTGAAATTCTGTAGAAAAAATATTATGATTATGATATATTATGATTGCATTGTAAATTTTTGCTGTTAAAGTCTACAACACACTTTTGGAGTTTACTCAACTCGTTTCTCCGCGCAGCGGCCTTGTTCGTCAAGGTTCGTGTTTCAGAGTTATAGAGTTGAGAGAGGGTTATAGCCACAAATAAGTAGCCTCCTCGTCTGTAGTGGCCTTCTCGGCCTTGAGGAGGTGAATTAAAATAAAAAAAAAAATAAAATGTGTTGATGAATTTTACTGAAGACCACATAGTTTGATAGCAAATTTCATGTCAAATGATACAACAAAGCTTTTTAGATATGCACTGATCATTGAGTTCAAGATTGCTATAATTTTTGGTCACATTGAAATGCTTGTTAATACAACTGTCTTTGGAAGCACTTGATGTCTAAAGTCAAATGTTTGGTGGAGAGTGGATCTGATGATTTTTATTCTTTTCCACAATGAAAAAACTTCAAAAATCTGCCTCCTTCATCAATTTCTAGTTTTACTATGTATTCAGAAAATATTTTTCTTTTTAACAGTGCAAATGACATAGCACAATGACATTGACAGTGCAAAATAATCTTTTCAACTTTATTTCTTAATTTTCTCATGGCTAGGTTGGACATTCTTAAATTAAATTAGGTTGGACATTCTTGTATAAACTTGAATTTTTTCATGCCTAGGTCGGACATTCTTAAATTAAATTAGGTTAGACATTCTTGTAGATAAGACATTCTTTTAGGTTAGACATTTTTGTAGGTTGGAAATTCTTTAATAAATTTTGACAAGATCTTGAGCTGTTACTTTAGTTCATCAAACTTCTTGTACTTGAAATCAAACAGTCTTCTTGCACTTGAAAGACCTGTCAAACAGTCTTCTTGCACTTGAAAGACCTGTCAAACAGTCTTCTTGCACTTGAAAGACCTGTCAAACAGTCTTCTTGCTCTTGACCTTAAAATGACATAATTAAAATAACAAGTATCAAATGTGAAATTGTTCAGAGAAAAACTACAAAGACATTTTATTTTTATATAAATGATACAAAATAAAATGTAACACCTGTTAATGCCAGTGGTCTGCCACCTTAAACCTGCTTAATAGAAATTGTTCCATTTATTTAGGCATGACCAATAGTTGCAGCTGTAATCTGATCTAATACTTTGCTGTCATACAATGTAAGCAATCTCATATTTTCTTGAAATATAAATCCATTGCAAGTATGGGGAAGCACTTTACAAAGTATTGGAAGATATTTTGAGCATTTATGGTCGAATTTTTCTTCATCAGTTTTATTTTTTATTTCCAATGGATATTTGAAGTTAAGCTTTAAATGACCAAATTTGCAAATGAGTTGCAGGCTCTCTTGTGGACATTTTTTACTTGAATTTCCCACCTTTGTTAACTTGAAGTTAACAAAGGTGAGAAAAGGTTGCTCTCATCTTTTTTTCTAATTCCTGAACGACATGTCTCACAAAGTCCTTGGAGAACGACATGTCTCACAAAGTCCTTGGAGAACGACATGTCTCACAAAGTCCTTGGAGAACGACATGTCTCACAAAGTCCTTGGAGAACGACATGTCTCACAAAGTCCTTGGAGAACGATATGTCTCACAAAGTCCTTGGAGAACGACATGTCTCACAAAGTCCTTGGGGAATTTTTGCATTTGAAAAATCAATTTCTTGACCCAAAATCTTAGTCTATTTCTCAATGATAAATTGTGTAATTTCATGCTTAGCCTTTTGCAATCACCAGAAAAATCTTCCTGTTTTCTTCATGAGACCTTACTTTGTAAGACATTTCAATTTTAAACTTAATTTTAAACTTAATTTTAAACTTAAAAATGAACAATATTGGTTTATTTTTACAACAATAGATCTTTCCCTAAAATAACTTAAAAGTAAAAAAAAAAGAAGATAAATAAGCAAATAAAAAAAAAAGTGAAAATAAAATATGACTTAGTATCAAGAGTATTTTATTTTTGATGAATACTCTTAATTTGACACGGTTAAAATAAGAACACATCTTCACTATTGATGTTATAGCTATAAAATCAAATGTCAATTTATTTCCTTGGATATAATAATTGGATTTTAAAGTTTACATAATCCTGATAAAGGTTTTTAAATGCCACTTTTCTTTTCTTCAGGTCAGAAAAGTCAAATTACCCAGATTTTTTTACAGGGACAATTACTTTCATATCTTGAAACACACAATGTGACCAAAAAAGTGTTTGAAGAAATTAGCACCAATGCGCAAGTTAAAAAAAATTCTGTGGGATTTTTATGGGTGATAAAGAATATCAACTTGCAAAATGTATGAAAATGCAACTAATAGTTCAAATCACATGATGGCAGAGCAGTGGAATCAATATGGATCTAAAAATCATTTTTATTTTTTGCAACAAATAATTTTTTTATTTTTAACACTAAAATAATTCAAAACTCATTTTTAAAAGATATTTATCAAAATAACTATTTTTTTTTAAATTTAGAATAGACTAGTTTTTATTCTTATATTTTTTATTTTTTTTAATATTCAGTTTATTCTTATAAGTTCTTTAATTGCTCATCAAATCATTTCAGTAATTGTTGTTTAAGTAGTTCATATTTAGCAAAAAAAAAAATACAACTAAAAAAAAAATATTTAAAGAAACATTTTCCTTATAAAATACAGTAACAATGTAAGTAGTGGCGTAGAGCACTTCATAAGTGCTCTACACCACTTCTTAGACTATTTCAGTAAAGATGGTGTGGCCAGCAGTATAGATGGTATGATCGACAGTATAGATGGTGTGACTAACAGTATAGATGGTATGACCAGCAGTATAGATGGTGAGATCAACAGTATAGATGGTGTGACCAGCAGTATAGATAGTATGACCACTATTTACACTACTTCAGTATAAATGGTGCGACCAACAGTATAGTAGTGCAACCAACAGTATAGTAGTGTGACCAGCAGTATAGATAGTGTGATCTCTACTTACACTATTTCATAAGCAAGAGGTTCCAAGTTTGATTCCTACCATTTCCCTGGTAGTAACGCACTCAATTTGTTTCTTTGTGCAGCAACCTTGTTTGTCAAGGTTCAAGTTTCGAAGTTATAGAATTGAGAGAGGGTTATAACCACAATTAAATAGCCCTTTCATGTGTAGTGCCCTTTTTGGCCTTGGGAAAGTGAATTACCATAAAAAAATTTCCATAAAAAAAACTTAAAGAAAGCATATTTTTTGTTATTTATTTATTTTTAAATAGAAAATATTTTTGAGATTTTCCATTAAAATTTAAAACAAATATATAATAAATTAATAAGTAAAAATTACCTAACTTTTAATTAAGTAAAGTTAATATAAGTTTAAAAAAATTCTTTGAGTCTAGCGCAACGATACCGTTACTTTAATTTTTTATCTTAAGTCACGGTAGTAAAGTTTGATTGGTTTATTTAAAGTCACAGCTGCGAATATGATTAGTTAGTTTTAAAAATTTTATTTGTACAAATTTTAAAAGAATTGCAACTATAATTTGTGCAAATGGTATCGTGGATTCTCATTTGTTTATTATTCAAGGAGTTCCATTTGTTTATTATTCACAGATCGAGTCCTACTATCTTAAAAATATTTTCAAATCTTTTTTAACAATTTTTTTATTAAAAGCTATTGTTATTGTTTGTCTATTGAAAGTCACATTTATATTTATTATTTACAAACATCGACTGATATAGGGATAGGCGCAGTGAGTGTACATATATCAACTGATTTAGGGATAGGCGCAGTGAGCGTACATACATCAACTGAATAAGGGATAGGCGCAGTGAGTGTACATACATCGAATGATTTAGGTATGGGCGCAGTGAGTGTGCATACATCCATTGATTTAGGGATAGGCATAGGGAGTGTACATACATCAACTAAGGGTTTTGGTTTGGGCATGCATTCTTTAAATGAAAGAAAAAAAAAATCAACCAATCAGAGATCACTACCGTGACTTTAAGAAAAAAATTAAAGCGACAGTACTGTTGCGCGAGCAACAGCAAAAAAAAACACTGCGCCAATAAAAACACTTGTAGAATTTGAACCACTAAAACCAAAACATACATACTTTATAGTTACAATAAACTTTGTTTAGTAAGTTTGTGTAAAACTTTCAAATTATTCGTTTTAAAAGAAATTAGAAACTTGTCAAAAATATACTTCTTGAAATCTATATATGTTAAAACTATTTATAAAGTATAAATATTTACTAGGAGTAACTGTAAGTGGAGGCCCGCCGGATGCTACAGCCAGTAGAATAGTTTCTTCCAAAGATAATTCTTTATTGGAAATAACTCGAGATGCGATTTGTTCGGATGATTTGGCATCTTTTGCTGCTAAAGATTTAATGTTTTCCCTTAACATTATTTGAAAGCATTGGTGGGGCAAACCTTTTCTAAAAGGGCTGAGGCATTTGCTGCAATGCACCTTTGGTTTTTTCTCAATAGTGGTTCGCTCTATAAGTGGATGTTTTCAACACATCGTGCCTCTTGTTTCAGGTCTCACTTGTAATGACTTAAAATCAAACGAAGGAGGGAATGTAACTTCTTTCCCCTCTTGTTTCCTGCGCAAAGTAATTCTACACGATTTGCAGAATCCTTTTGGTACCAGAGTATCACTGATGTTGATCTTGGTCTTGTACAGTTAGCATATTCGATCTCCTTCAAAAGTAGTAAGCTGTCTTAAACATTTTTTCAGACAGAGCAAGCACACAAACTTTCGATTTTCATCATGATTCTTTGCTTGATTTGGCATCGTGGCAATTCACTAAATTTGACTTCACAAAATCAAACTCTGCCTTTTGCAAAATTTGACCTAAATTTATATTTGATAACAATCCACTTAACATAGTAACACATATTATTAATTAAAAACTATTAAAATAAAAGAAAATATTTACTTGATTTAATTGAGGTAATATTAAATTACAAGGAAATAACTCTTGAATAGTTCTTTCCTTACCAGGAAACAATTGTTTAAACTATTTACTTGTAAGGAAATTACATTATTGATAATTGTCACACTTATTAAACTAATGATACTTGTAACACAGGTTGTTTTATTTCAAAACAACCCTTCAACCTAATTAGTTATTCAGTTAGAGTAATTTTCCTCCAAAAGGCCCTCCAAACTTTGTATTGGTCAAATCTCTTAGTTAACTTATCTAAATTTTATAAGTCAATTATTTTTGTCAATATAAAAAATATTTGGTTTTTTCACAGTTGTTCTGTTTTCAGATGAATAAATATTTTAATTTTCTATGTAGGTATCCCTAGAAATCCTTCTTAACCATTTTTTTTAGAACTTTTTTGCATTCTGGCAATAGTTTATACCATAGGAAATGTTGGTATATTCACGCTATGTATACATGGCCATCAAGGGAGCCATGGCCTGCCAACTTTTTTTTTGTGAGGACCTTTTGTTTTAAAAATATATGCAATTATTTTAGAAATTATAGATTTTAATTTAGAAGTTGAGGGGTTAACCCCCTCCACTTTGAAGGCCGTGTCAACGCCATTGGCATAAGCCAATTCAAACCACGCTTTAAGTAGCAAATCACTATTTTGGTATATAAAATGAAAACTGTACATGCACCGATAAAATAATTATAACAAAAATTTTTGATACTACATAGTAGAACACTCATGTAACCGTTATTTTATAAATAGTGACAGAATTTCAACGCTTTGAGGTATAAGTAGCAAAAAACTGACAAAACTTTAACTAAAATTGCAATAAATCCTATACCAGTCATCCAATCAGGCTGAAATTTTGTCCAGAGTTTGGTGTGACTATTGGCTACATTTGCACCAATTTTTATCAAATTATATTTAGCAGTTCAAATTCTACAAGTGTTTTTATTGGCGCACTATGAAGTCAAAATTTGACTTGATTTGAATATTCAAATTAAATTATTTTCTGCGACAAAATTAAATGATTTCAAAATTTGCATCTCAAGGTACCTTGATGTGTACGCCAACATTCTGTGTAAGTGGCGTTCTTGGGACAGCTAGGTAGGCATTTTAAGGATTCGTGCTAACCGTGAGATTGAAACTTAAATTTTTATATTATTAAGATTAAATTAAGTTTATCAAAGTTGATCTTTATTTTTAAAATAAAGTTCAAAATATTTGTTCTTAACATAAAATAAAAATATTTTTAGTATTTGAATTTGGGAATTTATATACAAAAAGGAATGAATTATTATATTCCAATTACATTTAATCAACACTGATAATGTTCTTAATGACTGAACCTCAATCAAGAGAATTGTATGGAGTCTCAGAAGAAATCACCTTGCTTGATTAGGAAAATACATTAACAAACAATTATAATAATTTTATATACTGTAGGTATATTTATATGTGCTTATATGTAGCATTTTAATTAAAATATGCTACAAAAGAAACATACCTTAAATTTTTCTTTTGTAGCATATTTTAATTAAAATGCTACAAAAGAAAAATATTTTAATTAAAATGCCACAAAAAAAAAAAAAAAATGCACAAGATACTTAAAAATTTTGCTCTTTATTAAAAATTTACTTGACAGAGAGAGTTCAGAAATGGGACAGAGCTATACTATCTGGAGGCAGTACAGCTCTGTCACACTTCTCCATTATTTATCTAGAATAGCCATCTTTCTATAATATTTGTATATAAAAATTAAATCACTAAATAAAAATTAAAAAATTCAAAGTTTTAATAACTAAACATAAATAAACCTGTTTAATATTAGAATGTCTTTTCAGAGCTTGATGTGCTTTCTTTAGTCCCATACCTTTAATTGATGGAAGATAATCACAGCCAGAAAGCATACACATTTGACGAAAGTTATCCAAAGTAAAAGAAGATAGCTGCACAGAGCGAACTTTTGACAGGTTGTCAATATCAACAAGCATTCCATCACCTTCAGAAGACATCTTATATAAAACCTATAAAAAAAAAAAATTAAAATTGTTAGAAACCTTTTTTTATTTAAAAATAAATGTAAAGAAATTAGATTTTAAAATCTGTAAAAAAATTCTTTAATTTTTAATTTTGATTTGTTTGATAACAAAGTGTAAATCTTAAAACAAAAATTAAAAACCTTGTTACACCCATATAATAACAAATCAGAATCTTCAGAAATAGTAAGTTGCGTAATTCCACTTTTCATCAGAAAAGCAAGCTGAGCATCTGCTTCATAAGGAGCCACAATACATTGAACATTCATCTCAAAGCAAGCCTGCAACAAGAATGGTTAAAGCAATTGATAAACTTTTTCTATTAAAATTATTTTAATTAATCAACATGTTTTAAATAAGAAAAACATTTTACATACATACAATATATATTGTTCAAATAAGAAAGACATATTTTCAAGTCTTCATTATTAGTAAAACACAATTTTACTGATGAATAACAAATCATTATTATATATAAGATATCAAAAAAGAAATTATATACAAATATATTTTTTAAAACCTATGCAGATATAAAACCTATGTAATTACATACAAAAAATATTGTTTAAAAACATTTTAAAAATGAATTGTAAAAGACTTTTTTAGTTTTATATAGTTGAAATTCTTATGGCACATATAACTATATTTTAAACCATATAAAGATACTGGGCTAAAGCTCCAGGGCCCACGACACCAGGGGGAGGGACCAGGGACCACTGGTGTTGTTGCCCTGACTTTTAACGATATTTGTACTATTAAAAGATAATTTTAACCATATTTGTATTAAAAAATATTTTTTTAGTACAAATATGGTTTGTTTTTTTTCTTTTATTTTTTTTTTGATTTACTATACTTGTGTAGTAAATCAAAAAATATATATATATATATATATGATTTGATTTACTATACTTGTGTAGTAAATATAGCAATATAGTATAGTATATAACAATATACTATATTAAATTGTTATATTTAATAGCTTTTAAAAAATGGAGTAACCATATCCCAACTATCTTTATCTTGTTACCTTAAGAAGCTTTAAATTACAAGAAAAAGATTTAGAAAGGTCTCTGATGTCACCTGTTCAATAATTAGTGAGAGCACCAAAAAACACTCCTGCATTTACAACTGTTCCTACAAACAAAAGTTGCAATATCAGTCTACTTTCATTAATAAGTCAGAGCCATCTTAAAACATTCAATTATTGAAGGACCTTTCAGTACTGAAATTTTCTTAGAATTTTTCAAGCAATGCAATGAAGCAAGATTTGTTTGAAAATAAAATTCTTATCATGAACAACATAAGATTTTATAAATCAGGACTAATGATTCAATTTTTTAGGGATAAGAATATTAGATATGGGTATCTGCCCCCATATTCTCCCCAGTTAAATCCTATAGAGGAAGTATTTTTATCTTTATTTTTAAAAATAAAGATATTACAAATTATGTCCATATCCAGAAACTAAAGAAGATATCATTTAACACATTAAAACGGTTATAGCAGATATGAATGAGAACATTGTTTTTATGGTGTTTTATTAACAAAGCACTGTCTTGCTCTTGCTTTTATAGGACAAGAATTTAAATAATAACTTAACATTTAACAACACTATTTATATTTATTTTACTGGATATATTTTTTATTTTAACTAAGAAAGGTATTTTATGAATTATATATAATTGTAAACAACCTGCTATATAATTTTTAATAAACTGCTATATAATAACTAATACACTGATACATAATTATTAATAAACTGATATATAATTATTAATAAATCGTTATATAATTATTAATTACCCTGTAAAATTAAATTAACAGAATCTGAGACAACTTGTCTTGATCAAGCCGCTTGGCTCAATAAAAAATTTTAATTTTAGTTAGCATGAACAAAAAGTAGGAACAAAAGTACCTGAATTACATTAGCAGCCATCTCTGGTGTGATATCACAACATTTTTGAAAACTTTCAAATGCTTCTTTTGAATTGCCATTTCTTAGTGCTTCTAATGCTCGTGCTCGGTATTCTATACGTTTTCTTAAAATAAATATCAATGTTTTTTATGTTTTCTTAAAATAAATATCAATAATCTTTATGTTTTCTTAAAACAAATATTGATATTATTTACATTTTCTTAAAATAAATGTCAATAATCTTTATGTTTTCTTAAAATGAATATCAAAATGGGCAATTTAATTTTTAACTTGCATTACGCGCACAACAAACTTATTAAATTTTTGCCTATTTAAATTGTAAATTAAACTTTTAGCTATTTATATGAAAGCTGTTAGTCTAAAGAATAAAATAAGCTAAAAAGTTTTGTTTCTGGCCAAAAGAAGGCGAACTTATTACTGAAAATTCCTCTTAACTTACTTTACATGGAAAATAAGGTAAAAAAATTGCTTTAACTTTTAGATCAGATTTCTTCAAATCAGTAATGCGGTTTGTAATAAAAACATTCACAAGATGTTGAGAATTCTATACCAATTTAAAAAATATATAAAAATTTATCAGAGCTGACCAGCTAAGGAAAGTGTTTTTTTTTTTTTTGATACTATATATTTAACTTGTTAGATCACTTACACTACCAAGCGATTATTATCGTGGAATTTTTATATCTGTTATTAAGAGTTAAAATTACATAACAAAAGAATTGCAAAAATATGAACTCATTCATAAAAAAAATTAACATTGAAAAATTTAAAAAACTTCCTGAGTGATTTTTTATAAAATTTATGAAATTTTAGAATTAAAACTTTATTAAAACTTTATTGAGTAATTTAAATAAGAAAAATTTTTGTCAAAGAAAATTTTTTGGCTTGTCAAAGTTTTTACTTATACTTCTAATTTCTTATGCGTATTGCCATATTTTCATTAGGTGGAATTTTTTTAATGCTGCAAACTATTTACATTTAAATCTTTTTCAATGTTTTTGACATGAAACTGCTAGCACAGTTTGAGAGGGAGAGGGGTTCAAGTATATGAGATCGTTTGTGACAGGGAAGGGGTAAGAATTGACAAAATTGGGGTGACATGCTTTATGGATGATCCCAATTAATTACGTTTACAAATTTGTTTTAATAAAACAAAAATAAAAAAGGCTCTGAATGATTTTTTTTTTATACTAGGAGAATAATTTTTTTTCAATGTCTAAATAAAACTTGTTATATAACTCTTATTTTTATTCATTTATGTATATTTGTATGTCAACTAAAATAAGAATACATACAAAAATAAAAAAAACAATAATATAAATAATTTTAATTAATATTACAAAAAAAATTAAAGAATTTTTTTCTAAATTCTCCTAATATAAAAAGTTAAAACCTTGTCAAACTAACGCAACAAAAAAGAATTACTTAATGGCATAATTTATTTTGTTAACAGAAAAATGCTAGAACATTGTCAATGCATGTAATTTTAACTTATGTTACACAAATTTAAAATAAAAATATGCTTTAACTAAGCATCATCATTTAGAACTTTAAATGTAAAAACATAATATTTATTTTCTTTTACCTATATTATTAAAAAACTCATGTTTTTAAACTTTCTTTTAGAAAAAACAAAACATTATTATGTTTTTGTTAAACTGCATTACATGAAAAATGCAATTCTTTCGTTATTTCCTTGAAATATATATATTTTATAAAGTATGAAACCTGACCAAAAACAATTTGAATATGTTAGCTCCATTTTCACGCTAAATTAATTCAGATTATGCAAATAAATTTATGTTTAAAACAACATTTTACAACGATCCTTTTTTTTAATGCAATGAGAAAACAATGAGAAAAACCGAAACGGAAGCATAAAAATGACTTAGATAAATTAATTTTAGTACTAAAAGTATATTTTAAATAAACTTTCATGTGTCTACATAAATATTAATTTGCTAAAACTTGACAAAAAGTAAAATAAAATTTGTCTACTTTCTCATTTCCCGCCGTGTAATTGCCCATACTCTTAATGTTTTCTTAAAATAAATATCAATAAGCTTTACATTTTCTTAAAATTACATTTTCTTAATAGTTCTACTAAAATGTTACATCTGAATATTATTCAATAAGCAGAAACAAAATTTTTAATTTTATAAAAATCTTTACTTACTCCCTTCTTTCTTTTTCTTTCTCTGATTTTGCAGGTAAATGTCCACCATCAAAAACAAGTATTGGCGTTATATCATAGTTGATAAGCATGTTGACCCTTCGCATAACATATTGAATATAAACTTTAGTAGGTTGCCCCAAAACAACGTCTTTTGCACATCCATAAGTACCTTTATGCAACCAACAATATGCATCAATTCCAACTGTTTGTCCTTTGAAACTTGAAATTGATGTTTTTACTTGAATGTCTTTTAGAAGGGGTAAAAGTCCAAGTATTCCCATTACAATGCAGGAACCATTAATTTTGTTTATTAAAAAACTCTGTATTAAATGAGTTTGCTATAAAAAAATATCATAAAAAATTAAAACAAATAATAATTAATTATATTATATTTGTTTGTATAAGTTACTATAGTTACTTGTTTATATATATTTTTTTGTTCTTTTGTCATTACTATTTTTGTTTATATTATTATTTTATTTAATAGTATTATTATTATCTCATCAAAGTTGTTTAAATTTGAAATTTGAAAAAAAACAACCTTAGAAATTATTTTTTGTATTTTTCGAGTCTAAATTGAAATATCTTTATCTACATTCATCTACATTCATCTACATTTATATACATTTATCTACATTTATCTACATTCATTTCATTTATTTATTTATTCAAACATAAAATTTGAAATCAATGCACGATCAGGAGACACTCAAATAGTTAAAAACTAACCATAAGAGTGACACTTAAAAACAAAAAAATCAAGTAACAAAAAATTAAAATAAAGACAAAATTAGACAAACCAAAATAGACAAACAAAACAAAATAAAAAAACAAAACAAAATAAAAAATCAAGGTAACAAAAAAATTTATAAGAATTAGGCAAAATTAGATAAACATAAATCCAGTACAAACGAAAAATTAACAACTATATACTTTTACTATATATGCCACTTAAAATTTACTTTTCTAGCTGAAGGAGAAGTTAACTTAAACTTTTTTAGGCCTTGGGGATCTGAGTAAAGACAAGAGATTCTGTATCAATAAAAAAAAACTTATACTGATGTTAAAGGTATCTGATTACTTTTGTGCAGAAAACCTCATAGGTAAAGACATAAGTGGTATACAGAAAATTCATGTAAATGAGCCATTCTTCATTTAACAGACTGGCATAGATGTAAAACATGTATAAATGTTACCTGAAAGGGTGGGTTTTTGCATGTGCCTCTTTGTTATTGGCTATGCAACTCTTTCTGTTATCTCCTATTATAGGATTCTTTCTGTGGTAGCTATCAGAGAATTCCATAAGCCGCTGTAAAATGCAAATGTATTAAAAGTACAATATTACACATTGGTGTTGCTAATAGTTTTTTTGGTGTGTATTGTTAACAATACACACCAAAAAAACTAATTGTATTGTTAACAATACACACCATTCATGCTAATCATGCAATGCAAATTCCAAAGAACTGATGTTTGAGGAAAAAAAACTAAAAGTATAAGAAATTTTGAAGCACTTAGTCAGTGTACAGTACAACAGTCACAGTAATAGGATGAGACTTAATTGAATGACAAGTAACAGAAAAATTAATTTTAGCAGAAGGCATAAGAGACACTTGATCTTTAGAGCAGTCCCATTAAAGTATTTATAGAAAAGAGAATGAGAAGCAACATTACAATGATGTGATAATGGTTTGAGGTTGGCTGCAAGAGCGGGTCCAACTATGTTTACAATGTGTTTTTGCACCTTGTCTAAAAGAGAAAAGGTATCATTGGAAGATCTGCCCCAGATATGGCAACAGTATTCTATACAAGGTCAGATTTGAGATTTATAGAGATAAAAAATAGAATTCTGAGTAAGAAAGTGGCGAGCACAATAAAGAGATGCAACCTTAGCATATGCTAATTTTGCAATTGATTTTTTTTTTTTTAATATCGATATTTTTTAAACAAATTATTTTTACAAAAATGAAAAGACTTGTGAAGGAATGGTATCAGCCCTACTATGTATAACCCAAAATTGTTAATGTACTGGCTATGTTTCTTCTTAGAACGTGACAATCATATAGCTCTTATAATTTTTCAATTCTGAAGCATCAATAATTTGCTCTGGTAAAGAGTTCCAGTGTTTTAATATATTATTAGTAAAAATTTCGCTTTGAAAATTAGTGCTTCACCAGTTGACATTTTATTCGCATAGCATGACTACGAGTACCACCAGCAGGTCCATCGCAATGAAAAGAGGGAAGAGACATGGGTGAGTGATACTAGTTAATGACATGAATCTGACATATTATTTTAAAATGCTGTATCATATCATTTCTGATCCTTCTCTCAGTTAGAGTGGTAATTCCTAGTTTTTCAAGTCTTTCTTTGTATGGAAGTTTTGATTTGGAGAAAATTACTATTGTAGTTTTTCTTTGAATGTTTTCTAAAATCTTGATGCCTTTCGCTTGATATGGTGACCATGATTGAACTGCAAATTCTAAATGTGGTCTAATATATGTTATATAAAGCAATTTCCACAGACTTAAACCTCTATGCTGAAATACTTTTTTAAAAATTTCAAGTATTTGATTGACCTTTATAGCAGCAGAATCTACTTGCATCTTAACTTTAAGGTTATCAGAGATAAGTACACCTAAATCTTGTTCAATATAGGTATCAGCTAATGTGACTTGTGTGCCATTGTCATCATACATATAGTATTTTTGATTTGATTTAGTCAATCCTTGACCGATATGCATGACCTTACATTTTTTAATATTAAACTTCATCTGCCAATTTCTTGACCATTCAACAGCTTAATTGATATTAGATTGTAAAAAATCCGCATCTGATGGTGAGCTGGTTACCCAAATGATTATGCTACCATCAGCATATAATTTTATACTGTGTGTCAAATTATGTGGTAGGTCATTAATATACAACACAAATAAAAGGGGACCGAAGACTGATCCCTGTGGGACACTGCTGACTACATCTTTCCAACCCGATGTATTTGGTCCTAATTTAACACGCTGTTGCCTTTAATTTAGCCATGCTTTAATCCATGCAAAAATCTAACCACGAATATCATATGCATAAAGTTTATGTAGTAGTCTTCTGTGAGGCACTGTATCGAAGGCTTTTTCAAAGTCGGTAAAAATTCTTGATCTTGAAAATTAGTGTAACATTTGCTTTTTTCCATCTATCGGGAACAACACCAGTACTAACTGAGTTATTAAAGATTATACCCATAGGTAAAGCTATACTTGAACAACAGTTTAAGAGAACTCGTGGGTATATGCGACCGAATCCAGCGGACTTATTTGGATCAATTACTTTTAGTCTGTTTATGATATGCTTGTGACCGAAAAAGTGGTCAGGAATTTCACTGCATTGTATTTCAGTTCGATTTTTAAAATATGGTAGCTAATCTGATGGTTCCACAACAAAAACAGAATGAAAGAAACTAGTAAAAGCACTGCAAATTAATTTGCCTTCAGTTATGATTTAATTGCCTTCAGTTATGATTGTTCCATCAGTATTTTTCAAAGCTTGTATAGAGTCTTTAGCACTTCTTTTTTTTTGAACATAGGAATGGAGTATTTTTGAAATTAGTTTTCTCTTCATATTCCAGGACTGCTTTCTTTATAACTTTTTTTACTGATATACTAGCTGCTTTATGCTTTAATTTTAATTTGGCGTGAACAAATTGCTTAACAGATTTATATTTAGCCCAAAGGTCTTATTTTAGACGAATAGCAGCTTTTAAATCAGTTGCCACCCACAGTTCATGAACAAAAACTAGTTTAGATTTTGTTGTTGGTATATATTGAGCACACGCTAAATTAAATTCTTGAATAAAAATTTCATAGTAACCATTTGCTGATAAGTCAGCAAATAAGTTACTCCAGTTTACTGATTCAAAATATCTTGAAATTTTCTCAAAATCCACTTTTTTACTAAACAGGTCTTGGTAAATTATTAGTGGATTGATTTGTATCAGTACTAGCAATGGCCAAGAGGTTCACCTGTTTTTAGTGCAAAAACATGGTCTGGTTCATCTGTGATGAGAAGGTCAAGGGTGTTTTTTGGCTCTTCTTCAAAAGAATTTTGCAATGTTGGAAAGGTAACAATTTACATAAGATGATTATTTTGAAGGCAGCTAAGGAATATTTTATCTGAACGCTTATCACCTATAGATGTCTCCTAGATGTTGGCTATTGTTGCTGTTCCTCCACTAATGTTCACATCAACATATCTAATGTGACTAAAATCACCAAAAACTACCATACTTGAACAACCTAGACAGGATAACGATTACTTTGCGATAGTAAGCAACAAGAAGTTTGTAGCAAGTTGAACTAAAACAATCGCTATTATAAACAAATCATTTGCTTTACATTGTTGAAATTGTAGAACATTGTTCAGTTAAGATGAATCCTATATGTATCAAAATATTTGATGCTGACCACTCAAAAACAATAACATGTCATTTCTTTGATATGTGCTTAACATCTGGAGTTGATTGTGCAAAGACTGCTATTATCTTTTCTTCTATAGAAAAAAAATTTGAAGAAAATGAAATTCTATGGGAAAATTGCATAAGTTTAAGTGTTGATAACACAATCTCTATGATTGAAAAAAGAAATTCAGTTGCATTAAGATTTTTAGAAAAAAATTATATCTTTATTGGTGGCTGCCAATCTTTGCTTCCAACAAGGCTGCAAGCAACCACTGATTAGTGTTGGAAGTTACTGAAAGAGGAAAGATGAAGATTGTAGAGCAAGATAAGGATTGACAGAATTGAACATAATGAATAAATATTAAATTATTCCCCACAGCATTATTCCCCACAGTAACGCTGAGAATCATTTAGTATTGTAAAAAAAAAAATCATTTAGTATTGTAAAAAAAAAAATGTCTTGAGAGATCAGCATTAAAGTTGGATGGGACATTATCAAGTACTTTAGCTATGAAAACAATGTTTCCCCGGGCTACTATACTGTGTTTTCAATGAAAACCATCTGAACAGCTGTTAAAAACATCAAAAAAAGCAACAAAAATGTACAATGCTAAACATAACGAATAAATATTATATATTTATAAAATGTAACTTTTCATTATATTTTAATTTTTCTTGTTTGAAAAAAAAGCATTTTTTTTTTAAATTTTACGCTTCTAAAGGTTTTTGTGTAAATCTCAAGGTATTTTTAACGAATCTCAAGGTTTTTTAAAAAAAGGTTGGAAGATCTGTTTATTTATATATGGCATATAAAACAATTCATTATGTTTAATAAAACCCTTCATTACGAGGTTGTTTAAAAATTTAAAATTTACAAAATGTTACATATTCCAATATA